TCTTGTAGACCAGGCTGGCCTCAAACTCACAGAGATCCACCTATCTCTGCCTCCCGAGTGCTGGGATTAAAGGCGTATGCCACCACCGCCTGGCTTGTATGGCCTTTTATACAGACTAAAAAGCATTACCTCAACTCTGAAACCCCCCTTTACTCATGTACATGGTCATGAGAAACTCTTGCCTCTCCTTGCAAGAAACAATACCTCAATTAATAACAGTAATAAAAATAAAGAGGAGTGCATAGAAACCAGGCAACATGTATGCAGGAGCAAAGCACTCCTTTGTAACTGGTAGAGCGTGAAGAACTGAGCTCAAAGGCCACTTCCCTATCCAGGGTACAGAGTCTCACAGAACGTTTGAGAAATGGGCAGAGAAAGTTTGCTCTCATCTATGCTTGGTTTGCCAAGCAACCGTTTCCCAGCTTGGTCTCATCTGTCCCAGGAGGAGCCTGCACTCTAAGCCAGTTCTATGTCTCCACATACCCCAATATCTGACTCCCAATTTCGTTTATTGATAAAGAGTAATTAGTTAACCGCTTCATTGGCTAGAGACTGAGTCTGCACTGAAGATGCTGGGACCACCAGGCTCTAAGGAAGAGGGTCCTTAGCAGAAAGCCCCAAACTCCCAGTCAAGAGCATTCCACCTAGCAGGCCCATCCTGGCCACAACCATAGGGAATCCAGAGCAAACCCATTTCTATCAGTCTGTGTATTGCCACGAGGTAGTGGCCTACCATAAAAGTTTCAGCACATCTATCTCTGGCCGTGGATCCTTGGCTTCCCCTCTTGACTCTGTTTCTTCCTCCCAGAATTCAGTTCTGTCTTCCCCGCCTACCTAAGTTCTGCCCTATCAACTAGGCCAGGGCAGTTTCTTTATTAACCAATAAAAGCAACACAAAGACAGAAGGACTTCCTATACCAAGCCATGGAGATGTGAGCCTCACCCGGTGGCAGATCAAGGTTCTGGGGCTTGCAGGTCAGCAGCAGCAGTCTATCCCCTGACAGAGGTTCCGTGGTCTCCATGAGATCTCTGAGTCCTCTTCACCGGCAGACTGCTGACATCAAGTGGGGAAGCTGAAACTGCTGCCTCAGTCCTCTCAGCGCACGGTATGCCTGCACCTCTCACAGTTCCGGGTCCAGGCATCCCTCATGATCATTCTGCATCACTGGTCATTCTGGGCTTCCTGGTGCCTCCTGCCACAGCCTGGCCTTGGGAGAGGTGTCCCCATGGCTGAAGGTCCCCTCCTGTGTGTCAAGGGCCCTGCAGCAGATCTGAGGAAAGCTTAGACCCATGAAATCCTGGAGCAGGATGCAGAGATGGCAGCTTTGCACCCAGGAATCCATGCTAGATGCAAGCAAGCACTTCTCAAAGCAGGAGATTCAACATTTAGCTACCAACAAGCTTCTAAGAAGCCTGCCCAACCTCTTGGCCCTCAAGAATGTTCACATTCACTGCTTTCCTGGGTCGCAGTATTTACACAAGCTTCAAAAGCCTGAGCCAACGCTGTGTGATCTGTTGTGATGGAGGAAGGTCATTGGTTAAAAAATAAAGAAACTGCCTTGGCCCATTTTATTGGTTAGAACATAGGTGGGTGGAGTAAACAGAACAGAATGCTGGGAGGAAGAGGAAGTGAGCTCAGAGGCCATGCTCCCCTCTCCCGGGCAGACGCATGAAGCTCAGACCCAGGATGGACGTAGGCTAGAATCTTTCCCAGTAAGACTGTTGCTACACAGATTATTAGAGATGGGTTGATCGGGATATGAGAATTAGCTGGTAAGGGCTAGAGCTAATGGGCCAAGCAGTGTTTAAAAGGATACAGTGTCCGTGTAATTATTTCGGGGCATAAGCTAGCAGGCGGCTGGGGTGCTGGGGACGCAGCCCCGCTGCTCCTATTACTACACTGTTGTTTAAGGTACTACAAGTAAGATATCATGTCTGTATTTTCTCCATCAATATTGGGTGGCAATAAGTTAGCCCGAGGACGTGAAAGGAATAAAAGCCAGACTGTTAGTGGACTTATATTTGATCAGACTAAGGGCAAGCCTAAGAGGACACTGCGTGTATCGGCAATCAGAGGGGCTCAGGGCCTAAGAGGACACTGCGTGCATCGGCAATCAGACAGGGCTTCACTGTCTCTTGGAGTTGGGGGGGCAGAGAAGCAGAAGCAGAGAGACAGGCATGTGTGCTGTGCAGATTCCAGCCCATTTCCCTGCTCTTCCCATCAAATTTGTAAGTGCAGGCGCAGGCACCCAAAGAGCATTCTTTTATCTTTATGAACCGAGTCCACAGAAACGAAGCAGTGGTCCCGGGGCAGAGGTGGAAAATATTCAGTTTCCAGGTCTGAGTCCCCTCTTGGAAACATCCCAGAGTGGCTGGCTAGCGGACAGCTGACTCTTTCCTACCAGTGCCGAGAGGATCGACCTATGAGCCTGCAGGCTCACCCAGGTGCACGTTGTTTTCCAGGGAAGCTCAAATGCCCCCACAGACTCAACGTTCTTTTTCAGTAAGAGGTGATATAAAGGCACCCGAAGCCTTTGGAGTAAAGCCATTGGCAGCTGGGCACCCACGCTGTGTAGTAACTGCAGGGGCACAATGAACCAGCTCTGGCCATGCCATGTAGCCAGTCTCCCTAGTGGTTCCCAGACATCCCCTAGCTCACCTACATGTGGTCCACATAGCTTTGTCTATGTTCTCTGGTTCCTTCTATACAGTTGGGCATGGTCTTGTTCCTTATTGCTGCATGACCCCTTTGTCACCAGCGTTGAAAGCCCTCGGTCTTATGGGAGACGCTATCCTAATGTAGAGAATTTACCCCGTACAGGCGCACCCTAACAAAGTCTTTCCATTCATGGGAAAAGAGCCTCTCAGTTTGGATTAAAATACAGTGTAGCTGGTGACTGTCTAGCTTCAGATCTACTGGTAAGATAATGGTTGGCAGGTAGAAACTGTCTGTGGTAGTGGAGAAACAGTCCAATAATATTTAAAATCACAGAACACATAGATAAATTAAAGAAGAAAAGCACTTTAGTCTCAGGGAGGGGACTGATTTGCCCTGGGGTGAATTTGTGGCACATGGGATCTCTGTCTTTGGTTTGGACACATCTTCCCTAGGCTATGGAGGTCCAGCACTCGGGAGGCAGAGGCAGGTGGATGGATCTCTGTGAGTTTGAGGCCAGCCTGGTCTATGGAGAAAGCTCCAGGACAGCCAAAGCTGTTAGACAGAGAAACCCTGTCTTTGAAATTAAAATAGAAGAAAAAGTGTGGCTGTGCTCTTAGACTCCCAGGCCGGAGCTGGGCCTGCTGACGTCACAGAGCAGGAGGGGATCCCAAGCCTCACCCTCCCAGGATAAAAAGACAGTCAATGGTTGCTGGGGACGGAAGACGTTCTTTTCCTGCAGTAGCTGCTGCTGTTGAGGCTCCCCTGCGCCTGTAAAGGAACCTGAGCAAACATGCCAGGCCCCTAAAGAGAGAATGCATGCGAGTGTGTGGTGCGGGGGGGGGGGGGGGATGCCGCTATTGATAACACGGAGAACCAAAGAGAGGACTTTTCCTAGTTTTTAATGGAGATTGTGGTGTTTTCTCCCCTTTCATGCTAGTGATCAAATGTTAAGACAAAATCAGTAAAAGCCAGTGAATGGAAGTTAATGGAGCAGACAGAGCTGCACGTGGAGGGCTGAGTCCAGAGAGAGTGGGGTCCAGGTAACCATGATTGAAGTACAGGGTATGGGGAACCCTTGCTTTCAAACTTCCTTTGACACCATAGAGGCCACGGGCACCTACCAAGCAGCCTTAGGCGAGTTCAGCCCGGAGGTGGAGTCTGGTGTGAATGAGAAGCTGACCGTCATTGTGTGGCCTGAAAGATGACGGACAGGCCATCTTTGCTTCTGAAGCTCAGACCCACTAGCAAAAGGCTTATTGGTGGATTCTAACCAGAGAACTTGAGAGACTGAGGCCAGACAGAGTTCTCACTTTACCATGTTTTATATAAAATAGACATTTACATAAATTTTGTTTTTGAAAGACTTAGGCAAAGTATACAGTCGGACTTCAACAGAGAAGTATTTTAAGCAGCGAGAATAACACAGGTGTACATATACATACAACCAACCAAAATAGAACACTGAGCGGTGGGAACAGAGACCAAGGTCCCGACAGCAAACGCAGTGACTTCCACACGTCCCTGGCTTCTACAGACACCTCGGGTCCCTAGAAGAAGGCCCAAGGAAGGTGACAGGGTGACCATATGAACTTTAAGCACAACTGGAAGACGTACTATTGTCATGTTAGCACACTTGGGCAGCCTAGTCTTCCAGGGTCGCTTGTCTGTGTTTTGTTGTGTTTGTTAGTAAGAACTGTCAGGAATAAGATCATTGGATGTGTCGTGCTTCTAAATGCATTTTGGAGGCTAGTGGTATCCTGGGGGCCACTGGACGAGACAGTGCTCCATGACGAGGGACAAACTCTACCTAGGTGTGGACCAACCTGCCAGAGTGAGGTGACTCCCTGGACTGATGCCAGAACTAGAATTCTGAAGCGCCGATCTCGAACTAGTGTGCCCCCACAATGGGCCAGCAGCTAAATCATCCCCAAAGGGTATGCACGGTAGGAACTTCCAGGCTCGCTACCAATATTTATCCTGTGTCCCTGACCAGGAGGAGACATCCTGGACCTCTGCATGTGGACATTTCCGGTTAGGAATGACTGGCAGCCTGTATTTTCACTCAGGCCAGGACTGTGTTTTGTAAGGTGCTAGTATTATTTTGTCTTTTTTATATGCCCTGATGCCTTTACCCGGAAAATCACTGGTGATGAAAATGTTTTAATATGAACCAATTGATGACTCCAGATAATTCTATCCATCCTGTGTTGTACGTGATTACTTTATCTCCTCCCTCAGAACAAAGAACTCACAGAAACAAAAGTATTAGAAGAGTTTTCAGAATGATACAGCAAGCTTTGCATTGAAACCCGAGAATAATGGTAAGAGTTATAATATTTTCGGTATTGGTTTCTGGTATTCTAAAACCTTAGCTCGCACAGCTGCAGGCTGAAAGGAGGTGGGACAGGCATCTACACTTCCCAAAGGACGGCATTGGATGCTTGGTTTTGCTGTGTTCCGGTGATGCCAACAAGTGTGACTGGAAAAGAAGAAGACAAAACAACCCTCCTCTACCATAGCTGCATGCTTTGGGCGAATTAGTTCCTAAAGGTTTATTATTCCCCTGGGTGGATCCACACAGGTAAGAGCAGGCATTTTTGCCCATGATTCCTTGTCAAAAGGAGTTTTTTTTTTTGTTTGTTTGTTTGGTTGGTTTTTTTCAAAACAGGGTCTCTCTGTGTAGCTCTGGCTCTCCTAGAACTTGCTCTATTGCAGACCAGGCTGGCCTCAAATTCACTGAGACCTACCTGACTCTGCCACCCCAGTGCTGCTGGGAATAAAGACGTGTGCCACCACACCCAGCTCATCAAAAACAGGTTTTAGTAAGTGCAATCAAGAACTAAACAGGAAAGCCCAGGGTCTGTGTGCCAGGCAGAAAGAGGCAATCTCTGTGCCGTGGACACCCTCTAAGAATAAAAAGATATCAGGGGTTTGGTTTGTTTGTGTTGTTGTTGTTTACTTTCTAGCCTTGGCTCTTGCCTGCTGTGTGCAAATGGCATTTTCTAAAGAGAAGGACACATTACAGACCAGCTGCCACCCCTGCCGTCTCTCCCTTTGACACCCAAGCATTTTCTAAAGAGAAGAACACATTATAGACCAGTCACCACATGCACAAAGCCACCCTACTCAGTCACCTGCCGGTCAGCCTAGGAATGTGATGACCCATCCTTTAGAATTCCTTGGCTCACTTTGGTCCAGTAGCTAGAAATAAAAAATTCATATTCCCCATCTGCTTGGTAGAAGCTGTAAGCCTCATTAAAGCATCAGTCCTGCAGGACTTTGCTATCGGCAGAGCACTGGGTCTCAGGGAGTTTGGAAGAATGCTCACAGTTCTCCAAGGGCAGCTAGGGTGGAGAGACCCTGGGCAGGGGGAAGGCCTCCTACTAGCCCAGCTGCTCTCTAATCAGAAGGATTCAGCCTATCTGCTAACAATCACTAGAAACGGGACCTTTGTTTTTTCTCCTCCTCAGTTTGGTCACCTCAGGTCGCTGCAGTGTGGTTTGGAATTTTTATTTGGTCTTGTCCGAAAGCTGAAAAATATCTGTGAAATTCTGCTGCAGACTTCAGAAGGGAACCTGCATGCTGATGAACACCAGACACCTCTCTGCTTTGTGTCAACTTTCAGAATTAACAAGCCCAGGACTGAGATGTCTCTGGTGGCCAGTAATGGAAGGCTTGCCTTGCATGGATGGAGTTCTAGCCCCAGAAACACACAAACAAACAAGGCCTCCAGTCCTCACAAAAGCATCTATTCCCCCATAGTTTCTGCATTTTTGGTTCATTTGCCTGAGTTCCACCACCTAACCAAAAGACACTAATAACATGAAACATTTGAATCACTTTGAAAAATACTAATTGAATAATTCCCAAATTTAAAATAAGCCACCGGTCACTCCTATAGCTCCTATGTCAAAGGGCACAAGAATGAACTGCCACTGGGCTTCATGACAAGGGTGACAGGCAGGACTGACAGGGAATGGTGGGGGAGGGGCTCGGGATGAAGGGCTCTATGTGTAACTCAGGAAAGAACCCTGAGAACACCATGCTGGGGCTCAGCCCAGGCAAAGCAACTCCTCCTTCTTCCCCTGGGCATGGTGCAGCACTCTGAGACCCAGGCTAGACCCTTTCTTAAAAACACAAGCAAACCCTCAGAATAATTTAGCTGAGGCCGGAGCTCAGCCAGAAAGTGCTTTGTTCTCAGCACCAACAATAACGATGTCAGAATCGCCAGCAGAGGATCTGCGTGCACTAAGCCAGCTCCACCCCTAGGTTTCAGAAAGAGCTCTCCAGTCACTCACAGACCAAAGCCTGCTGGTGGTAAACCAGATGCGTTTTCACAACAAGCTAGGTTCTTCGTTTCTACCGTAAAAGGACGACTCCCATGCATTATCCCACGTGACAAGGACCAAACAGCCTGCTACAAGATACACTCAGCCAGCTTTGAGAAAACACTTCGCGACTGACTTTCTCCCAGGCAACCTATCTACCAAGGAAACTCTCCTTGGCTCATTTAACATCCGAGCCCACAACGCGGGCTGACTTCTCTTCTTTTTAAGCAGTGTGTGTTTTTACTGCTCAGGGAGATGCCAAAGTAGGCAGACAAATGAGGAAGGAGAGAGGACCCATGAAGCAGCCTCCTAGGTGCCACCTGGCTTTTTCTCCTGGGAAACATTTATGTTATAGTTGCCTTTTTAGTTACTCCAACAAATTTACACTGAGACCTTTTGTAGCAATTCACATAAGGCGAAGCTATATCAAACTCTGTGGTTCCATCTGTCCCGCTAGTTTTTAATACACCCACTTTGGTAAATACTGCTCTAAAGAGAGGTACTAAGGTGTTGCCAAAGACCCCTGCTTTCTAAACTAGAGGCTTGGAATTTTTTTTTGTTTTTTTTTTTTTTTTGGTTTTTCGAGACAGGGTTTCTCTGTGGCTTTGCAGCCCGTCCTGGAACTAGCTCTGTAGACCAGGCTGGCCTCGAACTCACAGAGATCCGCCTGCCTCTGCCTCCCGAGTGCTGGGATTAAAGGCGTGCGCCACCACCGCCCGGCTTTGGAATTATTTTATAGCAAGCACTATAGTACATATTTTTGACCTTTGATGGAAGAAAATAAGATTCCGATCACTCTGTGATATGTGACGCTGGCAGCTGATTCCAGACTTCAGGTGACAGGGACACATGCTGGCCCCAAGAGCAGGGGAGCACTGGGGCAAATGCCCTTTTGGAGGGTGGAGGGTTTGAGACAGGGTTTCCTGGTTGTCCTGGAACTCACTCTGTGCACCAGGCTGGGCTCACTGAGATTCATCCGCCTACCTCTGCTTTCCAAGTGTTGGGATTAAAGGTGTGCACCACCACTACCTGGCTTCACCATGCCTTTTCAAATAAATTTTCAGCCACTTATTTTAACTTACCTGCCATAAAATAAAATAAGATAACACGCAGAAGCCCGCCTCCTGGTGCTGGGCTCCTCTGGTCTGGCTGGACAGGTGAGATGTTTGTGTGACACCTGGCTTGGCAGCAAGGCCTGGATGACCTTCGGGTTTCTGCTTTCAGTGATAAGTATCCAGTTAGAAGCAGGTGCTCCAACCCCTTCACTGACTACCCAAACACGGAGCTGACCCGTGATTCCATTAGCTTTAAGTGGCATACAACCAGTATAATTTGGGGCGATTGTTAAAGCTTTCTTATTACGCAGTTTTTATATGATTGGTTTTGAGAGCTGCTATTAAAATGACTATGTACAGAGACAAAACCACACGTGTGGATATATATATTAAACATTTTATAAGTTATACAATAAATAACACTAAAAATAATGTCAAATTATGATTTCAACTTTGCCTTCCTCGTTTTTAAATATAAATATATTTTTTTAAAAAACTGTGAATCTAGACTTTACCCGAGAGTTATAGAGCATTCTCCGTGGAGTCTGCTGTCAGTCACTTGTCTCTTAAGCACAAAATTCCCAGTAAACCTTGAAAGTCAATAAATAGAGCTCTTTTCCCTCAACTCAGTCCGTGAGGAATTCTGCAACACACTGTAAAGGTTCCTCAATGCTCAAATATATCTCTCAAAAATAATAAATCTCATGACATCTTGACCTTAAGAGAATAAAGGCGAGCACTTCTCTAGACTGGCCCTCGAACACTTCCTCGCAGAATGCACCCCGCACCCCGCCACTCCACGCCTGGGCAGCCAGGGTGGCAGTCTCCTGGTGTATGCACTGAGAAGTTTCAGGGTGGAGACACAACTCTAGTAATATCTGGAATACAATTCAAACATTTAAAAACATTTCCGTAACAAAACAAGGATGCTGAGCTTTTTTCGTTGTTGTTTTTTGTTTACTGCTCAGGGAGATTTTTCCTGGAGAGATAAAGATACCCACATACAACTCTAGAACCTCGCCCGTGTTTTAGGCACTGAAAAATGTATATCAGAGTGGAATTTAATGTACTTCTCCAAAGGTCCTTAGTGGTACTCTTAGGGGATATTAGACCAAGCCCAGTGATCAAGTGCTCTGCTCCCATGCCTTCACAAGACAACCAAAGCTCTTCACCCACTCTGGACTCCCCCTGGGCCGACTTCAGAGGAGGCTGTCTCCTCTGTGTTTCTGGGCTACCATGATGTTCCACATCTGCATCCTGGGGACTGGGAGTGACACAGACGGAGCCCATAAAGCACACACGTTACTTCCCTGCACACCGCCTGTTCCCCTTTGCTGTTCCCCTTTGTCTTCCTGGAAAACAACCCTAGCAGCGGGGTCACCAACAGCTGTCTCCCTGTGCCACCGGGAGGCAGAGCCTGCTGTTGTGAGCAAGGCCTCTCTGTCTTCTTTCAGCCTGCTGAGTCCCGCGTGACTGTGTGCCAGGAGCTAGGTCTGGTCCCTTTCTCGGACTTCCTGTAACCGTCTCTCCAGGCGATCCAGCTTGGCTAGGTTCTCCTTCAGTAGCTTGCTGTCTGGGACCAGCCTCAGGGCTCTCTCATAATAGGCCCTGGCAGACGCATAGCTTCCCTGGAAGGTGAGGGGCAGAAAGAAAGACTGCTCAGCACACTCCTCTGAGGAGAGAAACTCCCCTCCCCATCCTGCCCTTCCTCCGACTGCCAGTTAAGGGGCCCTAAGGAGACCTTCTCTGTGGATGTTTTTATCTTTATCTCTTGGGATCTGTAAGAACCAGACCATAGCTACACCTCAAGTGTAAATGGCAGAAACACAGATTTCAGCTTCTTAGTGTGGAGGAGACTGTCATGTTGTAGAGTTCTCAGGAGGTTAGCGCTGGTCTGCGGTTCTTTGTAAACAAGTAGGCTTGGGGTTGGGTGTGGGGAGGGAGAGCAGTAATTAAACAGACATCCATTTATCTTTTCAGTGTTATGCCCAGATCTGCTGAGTCTCCCCAAAACCAACAAGGTGACAGAATCCCCGTATGTAAAAACAAAGAGCCTTTATTCTTACGCAAGTTCGAATATGACTCTCCGTGTGTCCAGCACACTGGCTCAATCAGAGAGCCCTCAGCTGGGGTGGTTTTTTTTTTTTTTTTTTTTTATAATAGCAGAAGTTGGAGTGAGGGATTTCTAAGGTTCAGGACCCCTGATTGGCTGACATTTGTATAGGGGGGTCCAGGTGAAAAGCGATGGGTGTGTGCTGGCAGGTGATCCTATCTACAACAGTTGGAATGTTGGGAATCTCCTTTGGGTGCTCTGCCCTGGTGGCACCTGGGTGGTCTCAGACTGTGGTCTTTCTCAGAACAGGCATTGCCTCAGGGTAAACTACTGAGACTCACACCCATATTGAGCTTGCCATGGCTGGGCCCTACACTTAGTTTGTTCTAATGTTAGACTTAAAACACAAAAGCACCCTTTGCCTAATGCAAGTTTTACACGATGAAAGACTTGATTGATAGAAGAACTTGGGGCTGGAGAGACGGCTCCACGGTTGGGAGTACTTGCCCTTTCAGAGGACCCCAGAGTAGGGTAGAGGGGGCTGGTGACATTCATGGCACACATGATGGCTTACAACCATCTCTAATTCCAGTTCAAGGGATCAAACACCCTCTTTTGAACTCTGTGAGCACAACATGCATTTGGTGTACATACACACATACATGCAGGCAAAAACTCATACACATACAGTAAACAAATTTTTAAAAAATTAAAGATGGACTCTGGTTTATCTCGTAGCCAGGGTACGCAGTGAAAAGTACCAGCTAGACACTCGCGGCAGGAGGGAAGAAGGAAGGTGACCTCTGACCTGTTGAGCACACCTGTTCCCACTTCTGTCAACTCTCATCTGCTCAATAATACATGTGCCTGGGCTCAGACGGTCACAGACTACTGGTCACAGTCAGTAGCTTTTCCTAGTCCCTGTTCTACAGCCTGGCGTACATCTTCCCCCCTGTTCTACAGCCTGACATACATCTCCCCCCCCCCCGTTCTACAGCCTGACGTACATCTCCCCCCCACCCCATTCTACAGCCTGACGTACATCTCCCCCCCACCCCATTCTACAGCCTGACGTACATCCACCCTCCCCCGTTCTACAGCCTGACGTACATCTTCCTCCTCTGCTGCGGCCTTGCTGAGTCCTGCAGAGCCCTAAGACCCAGACTGTTACAGAGCTTCCGCTGCTGTGTCCTCTGCTCACAAGGTCTGGGAAGCTCACGAGACTCGCGGGACTCCCCCGTCTCTGAGGCTACACAAACAGCGAAGAGTTTCTGGAGGTTGAGGAGGGAGACTCAGGTGGCTGAGGCTTGTGAAAGTTGGGCAAATAGCTCTGGAGACACAGCTGAGATGGGCGTCAGTGATGCAGGTGTTTCTGAGTCACACACACTCCTGGACTTAAGACTCTTTCCTTGGTCTGCCCTATTTGGGGCATAGATGTTTACACCGACCCCAGGAAGCTGTACAAATTCTTCCCATTCTAAAACAACGAATTGACTTTCCATCATCCTCAGCTGCAGCTCCTATGTGGGTGGACACCAGAGGTGTTCTAACTTTCAATCACTATTTAAAACAACACCTCGAGCTAGCAGCTAATGTTTACCAAGGTGTAAGTATCTTCCTACATGTGTATATGTGTGTGAAGAGCTGGATGCTGCCTGACAGGTGAGACCTCAGCAGGCTCTAGAGTGGCCCACTTTCTGGTTCTCATGGTGGTTCTGTGTGCAGCTGGTGTAAGAGGGTGTGGAATGCTGACAATGAAGGAGGAGCTGTACACTGAGAAGCCAGCGCCGGCTGGGTAGGAGACAGTTATATCTGACAGTCAATGCTGATGAAAAACGCCAAACTGACTTGGAACAAGGAGCCCAGTTCTGCTGCATTACGGCTTTGTTAACTCTGGCATTCTCCTCTGAGCCTCTGATTTCTGTTAAGCCTGGTGTACATCTGGGCACTTGAATGCTTATGGACCCAAGAGCTCGCAAGATACTCCACAAAGCGGGCCCTCAAGCTACTCTGAATTCAGGCCTCATCCTTAACCTTAGTATTGTCTCAGATCACTGGGTTTCCACCTTTTTGCACAAAATCTAGTTTTTCCTTTCTCCCCCAAATTGTTCTTTTCTTGATTAAACTGTTAACCCCGTTGTTTTTAAAAGTTATATCCCTTAAGTCAATGACTCTAATTCTGCTATGTAGGAACTAGAATGATCTGATTTCCAGAACTGAATTTTAGTTAATTAAGACTAAAATCCACCAGCCCTACCAGAAACACTGCCAATGCCCAGTTGCCGTGGCCAGTCCCTGCTCCTTGCACAGTGAAGACACAGAGCATGCTCAGCATCCCAGAGAGTTCACTAGACAACAACATTCTGAGAAGCACGGACAGCCACCATGAAACCGTGCTGAAATTACTTTGGGATATGGCTTGGATGATGGTCTCCTAATGGAGCTTGAAATTCTATCTTATGTAAAAGTTCAAGGAACATACCAGAGAGAGAAAGAGAACATCCCTCACCCCCAAATGCAGAATGTTCTGACACTTCTGAACAGACAAGATAGCGTAAGTAGAGGATTCTGTCGCTGACCTCGTGGAATGGCCTACCTGTCAAACCGCAGGCACGCTAAAAATATCCTGTACGCTGACAGCAGGGACTTCACATAAGGGCGGACTTGAGAGGTGGAGGGAATTCTGCAGTTGGGCGCGCCTGTCCACACCTGAGGCACTTTGGGTCACAGCGCTGACCTTAGACACCTTGTGTGATTGTGTCCTCTCTGCCTAGGATGGCCACAGCCTTCAGTGTCTTTCCCCCATCTCCTATGCCACCTCCTTGCAAAGCCCCACCCTTCACCTCCATAATCCTAGGAGGCCCCCACTCCCCAGGGCCAGAATGGGTGACACTGTGACCAACACTCCTTGCAGAAGATGCAGGAAGTTCAGGATTGTTCCTGCACGTCCACAGTGATAACCCTGGACTGTTCTGGTGGTGCCAGAAAGACCACAGCCAAGCTGTGCCCACCACATACATTTATATCAGATCACATTATTCAAATATACCCACAGAATTGCTCAGCGGTGAGTGTGGGAGTTTCCTATTGCTCAGGCTAATCCACGATACCTGCTGTGGCAAAGCCTCATTGTTTCAAATAAATATCAATTACGTTTGAAAACAATATACTCAATAGATCTTTCTTCAGTCTCCAGAGCTCTGTCCTGTGAATATACAGCCCTGAGTTCAGATACATAATAATTATGCTATTTTCTCTTTTGAATGCTCTTGGGTATATCCTTTCTACTTCTTCAGATTAACAACTGAACTTTAATTTTTGGTATATTCCATCTGAGAAAGTTATACATTATTTTAAAAAAACTACTAAATATATAATTTAAATTTAGAATGTTGCACTAATCTCCAGAAAGGCCACTCTGTTTCCCAGCTAGGTGTTGCTAACATTCCATGGTACTGCTCGGACCAGAGCGTGGGTCTGTGACTGAGCTACAATAACATCCTTAGATTCCGCACCATGAGGTGTATGTTGTCTGGCTGTCTGCATAGCCCAGCCATGAGTCCCTTTCCCTCCCGAGTCTTTCTAAGAGTGGGCCGAAGGAAAACACTGGCCGGCCTCTTGGAAATCCTCACCACTCCAGTGTCAGTGTGAGAGAAGCCTGGGCAAGTTAGCTCAACAAGTCAGACCATGCTGTCTCTGTGAAAAGTTCTCCAAGGACAGAGCTGACTCAGCATAAAAGCTGGAGTTTCTGGGAGTCTCTTCTAGGGCCTGAGCTTCCACCACCTCCTCTCACCTCCTCTGAGCAGCCAGGCACCCGACTCACCCTTCCAAACCTGCCAGGCACCCTCAGCCTCGGACCTCTGTGTGTGCTCTGTGTGTGTCCACATGACCTCTGCGTGTGCTCTGTGTGTGTCCACATGACCTCTGCGTGTGCTCTGTGTGTCCACATGACATCTGCGTGTGTTCTGTGTGCCCGCATGACGGGACCCCTCAGATCCCTGCACTCTACATGACCTCTGCGTGTGCTCTGTGTGTCCACATGACCTCTGTGTGTGCTCTGTGTGCCCGCATGACGGGACCCCTCAGATCCCTGCACTCTACATGACCTCTGCGTGTGCTCTGTGTGTCCACATGACATCTGTGTGTGCTCTGTGTGTCCGCATGACGGGACCCTCAGATCCCTGCACTCTACATGACCTCTGCGTGTGCTGTGTGTGTCCACATGACCTCTGCGTGTGCTCTGTGTGTCCACATGACATCTGCGTGTGCTCTGTGTGTCCGCATGATGGGACCCTCAGATCCCTGCACTCTACATGACCTCTGTGTGTGCTCTGTGTGTCCACATGACCTCTGCGTGTGCTCTGTGTGTCCACATGACCTCTGCGTGTGCTCTGTGTGTCCGCATGACGGGACCCTCAGATCCCTGCACTCTACATGACCTCTGCGTGTGCTCTGTGTCCGCATGACGGGACCCCTCAGATCCCTACACTCTACATGACCTCTGTGTGTGCTCTGTGTGTGTCTGCATGACGGGACCCTCAGATCCCTGCACTCTACATGACCTCTGTGTGTGCTCTGTGTCTGCATGACAGGACCCCTCAGATCCTTGCACTCTACATGACCTCTGCGTGTGCTCTGTGTGTCCACATGACCTCTGTGTGTGCTCTGTGTGTGTCCACATGACGGGACCCCTCAGATCCTTGCACTCTACATGACCTCTGCGTGTGCTCTGTGTGTGTCCACATGACCTCTGCGTGTGCTCTGTGTCTGCATGACGGGACCCCTCAGATCCCTGCACGCTACAGGAGCTGCTCTCACAGCCCCATTAGTTCCCTCTCTCCTTTCCCTTTCCTCTTCATATGCACTTCACAATCTGATATGTTTTAGGCATTTATAATAATACACATGTGTGTACTACAGGTGTGCATATTGCCTGACAGCCCGGACTAGAACACAGGCTCTGTCTTGTCTGATCACTCTCACACGCCCAGTGTCTAGACATGCACCTGGCATACAGGACGCGTGCTCTGCAGAGAGGTCCGGAAGATGAACGCGTACATGCATGAAGGAATCATGGCACATCTTTGACTTTATTGGCTATAAACAACACCCCACCCAGGGTCACTTTTCAGTCATTTTTGGCAGAAAGACTTACCCAAAGTTAGCTTTAGGGGGTGGGGACCAAAGCAGACAAGTATGTTTTCTACTAAAAGGTTAGGGAATAAAAATGTTTTCAACATGGAGAATAAAGGGGCAGGAGAGATGGCTCAGCAGTGAAGAGTGGATGGTGTTCTTAGAGAAGACCCACATCCCGTTCTCAGCACCCATGCTGGGCATTGTACAAGGTCCATAACGCCAGCTCTAGGGGACCTACCAACACCCCCTTCTGGCCTCGGAGAGCATTGCACTAATGTGTATAAACTCACACCCAGATAAACACATAATGGAAAACAGGAAATAGTAAAGCGGAGCTGACAAGTTCCACAGGTCTCTGTGTCAGTGCACACAGATCTCAGCCACTGCTTGATAACTGATGTGGGATTCCCCTCTGTATGCTGCCCATATGCTTTATTACCATTGGTTAATAAGGAAGCTGTTTTGGCCTATGGCAGGGCAGAATATAGCCAGGTGGGAACACACACACACACACACACACACACACACACACACACACAGAGAGAGAGAGAGAGAGAGAGAGAGAGAGAGAAAGAGAGAGAAGGCAGAGTGGAGCAGACGCCATGTAGCTGCCGAAGGAGTAACATGCTGTACCGGTAAGTCACAGCCTCATGGCAATACACAGATTAATAGAAATCGGTTAATTTAAGATGCAAGAGCTAACTAGGAATATGCCTAAGCTATTGGCTAAGCAGCATTGTAATTAATATAGTTTCTGTGTGATTATCAGGTCTGGGTGGCTGGGAAAGAAGGGGCCGTCTCAAATTTACTAATGAATTTCCTGCCTGGCTTTACTCTATTAAGTCATTGGCTGAAACAGCTTTATTCATCAACCAATAAAAGCAGCACATATACAGAAGGACCTCCCACATCAGATAACCCTTCTTCCCACATCTGATGTTCCTCACCATCAGCAGGATCATAGAGTTAGATTTATAAACCTTTAAATGGGTCTGTGATTATTCACTATGCGGAGAACACAGCGCTTCTGCATTTGATTTTCAGAATCCTATGATTTAAGTCTCCAAATGCTTACAAGGAAAGGATGGACCATGGCTTCTGAACCACGGTGGGATGAGGACAGTGGGCGGTGCTCCTACCTGGATGTGCCGGATGCCTCCCATGTTCATCCACGCCTGTGCCTGGTCAGGATCCAAGGTTACGGCAGCTTCATAGCTCTGAGCAGAGAGGGTAAGCTTCATGTTAAGACACACAACACATCTAAGGTGCCACAGAACTGTGCCAGCGGCTGCCACATGGAGACCCCGATCGCTAAGGGCCACTCAGGAGGTGGCAAGTTTAGTCTGTCATGGTTGTAGAGCTGATGGTTCTTAAGTGGAGGGGCTGCAAACCCTCAATGTCTACAGCTTACTGCCTAGACTCTCTCTGCAAACCCTCAGTGTCTAGAGCTTACCGCCTAGACTCTCTCTGCAAACCCTCGGTGACTACAGCTTACTGCTGAGACTCTCTCTGCAAACCCTTAGTGATGGCAGCTTACTGCTGAGACTCTCTCTGCAAACCCTTAGTGACGGCAGCTTACTGCCTAGACTCCCTCATCAACTGTGGGATTCATTTAAACCTGCACATTTCATGACACTTTGGTTTGTCTTACCTCAAAAGCCTCGTCCAGAAGGCTCTGCTCTCTCAGCTGGTTCCCTTTTGTGAAGAAAAGTTCAGATATGACTTTCGGGTCCCTGGGCTTCAGCTGAAGAGCTCCGTCTATGGCCTCGAGTGCCTGCAGCAGCAGGAAGTGTAGGAACCCTAAGTTAGAGTGGCGTTACCCCCCACCCTGGCGCACAGCCTTCGACACATAAAAACACTTTCTACACTCTCATTTTCTCACTGGAATGAATGACCCCAGAAAGACCACCCTCTTATGCCTTGGGCTCCCTATTCATAGATGAGCAAGAATGTAATGTCCTGATCACTTTACAAAAAGGTTGCACAGTTGCAGTGAGGTTTGCCTTGGTCACATGTCATGTGGACTGCTGGCCCTTGGTGTCTGCCCCACCTCTGCACAAAGACATTGCTTGGAAGCACAATTCTGCCTTTCCATTAAAACTCCAAAGTTTATCCTAGATAGGACTAAACCCCATGGCTTTCCCCTATGTGTGTGTGGAGAGGAGGGTGTGTGCCTGGTCATGTTGGCATCTTGAAATGCGTGCTCTACCCTCTCCCCCAACCTTTGTGCCTCAGACCCACCCGTGTCTGCTGTCACAGGGTCTTTGTGCTGCTCCTCAGCTGCCCATTTTGTTTGCTGACCTCTTCCTCTCCTCACCCTCCCCTCATACTTTGCCATGTGCTGATTCTCAGTGGGATGCTTGGTTTCCCTCTTTCTCAACTCACCAATACATCTGTCTTGACCAATCTCTGTCTCTCTAAGTAAGCTCCCTTAGGACCAGGGCAGTATTTTTCCCATTCTCCCTTATGCCTGGAGTCTACCACAGTGTCTGGCACTTTGCAGGTGTTTAACAAATATTTTCTTGAACAGGTTATGAATTGAATGATTATGTGATTTTCAACATGCAGATAAAGAGTAACAGTCTGACAGTTCTGCCTCCTAGGTCTGTCCTGAGGATTGCATCAAACAGCAGACCTTGGAGAACCAGAGGGCATGCAGGGGCTGGGCATGCAGGGGTTGGGTATGTAGGGGTTGGATATGCAGGGGCTGGGTCTGTAGGTGTTGGATACGCAGGGGCTGGGTATATATGGGCTGGGTATGCAGGGGATAGGCATGCAGGGTCTGGGTATGTAGGGATTGGGCATGCAGGGGCTGGGTATGTAGGGGTTGGGCATGCAGGGGCTGGGCATATAAAGGCTGGATATGCAGGGTCTGGGTATGCAGGGGCATTTCCACTTGCTTTGGCAGCTGAGAGTTTGGGGGAGAGAGCTTCCTTACCTTCTCATGCTGCTCCTGCTTGCTGTAAATCGCCGACAGGAGGCGGTAGCATTCCAGGCATCTGGGTTCCTCCGACACTATGCGACTGGTCATCCTTTCAGCTTCCTGGGTCTGACCCATCACTGCTAAAACCTGTGCCTGCAAAACCAGAGGGCACAGGGCTTAGAAGACACTGGTCACCCCTCAGCAGATGAAGCAACTTCTCTGAGCTATCCAGAGAGAGGATATCCAAGACATCCCTAACCCCAACACAAAGCATTTTAGAGAGAGCTGAGTGCCACAGCAGAGAGTTCAGCACCTGGCTGTAGACTCCTACATGCATTTGGGTGCCACTGAGATCCACCAAATGGCTTGTGACCCTTCAGGCTTTCTCCGTATAATAGCCCTGGAACTAGCTCTCGTAGACCAGGCTGGCTTTGAACTCACAAAGATCCACCTGTCTCTGCCTCCCAAGTGCTGGGATTACAGGTGTGCGCCACCACCGCCCAGCTGGTTTGTGACCCCTAAAAAAGTTGACAGGACATGCCAAGAGGTAGCTCCCTGCCATCCTGACAGAACACAGTGTTCATAAAAAGATGACAAATCTGACTTAAGAAGGAAGCGTGAAGTTCCAAACACTGAAATTGAAATGCAGGAGGTGTTAACTATGCTGAATTTGACCACCACACTGCAATCATATGAGTCGATATGCTCATATGTAGGCATCACGTAGGAAGCAAGTTAGAGACAAAGGGGGAGGTATCTACAACAAACTGTCACGCCAGCAAAGACACACCATGTACTAATAACCATGCAGACACGTCTGAACATGTACACACCTCTCTGATCACACTCATACAGGAAGGAAATAACAAACAAGTGCACTCAAGTGCCAAAAATAGTGGGTCAAGTACTCTCGACAGTTTTATTCCTCATGTGATGAGCAGTCACACTTCCGCCCTAGAACAACGTCTTCCCTTCACTTCCGAGGCTCGGCAGTGCCGGCTCTTGGTTTGCAAGCTGCACTTACACCTGGGCCACTTCCTCTCCCTCTACTCACCAGGGCCAGGCGGAGATCCCTCTGGGAAGGCTGGAGAGAGACCGCTTCCCGGTACACTTCCAACGCCTCCTTGTGTCGGCCCGTGTTGTAATAGAGTGCTCCCAAAGGTGACAGGACCTCAGCCGTGTGGGCCACCTGCAGGGCACTGCAGGGAAGAAGACACACAGATGCTTCTCTGGTGGACTGCACTTAGGCAGAGGCAGGACTGTCCGGTTAGATGCTTGCTTGAACTTACTCAAGGTTATACTGTATCCCGGGTGAAGGCCTCCAGCGACCACCAACCTGGCAACCACACCAGCACTGACGGCTGACTTGAAGCGGCAGCCTTCCGCCTGTTTCTAGCATTGAGACGGCTGTTTCACCCCAGCCCTGAGCAGTGTGACCTCCCTAGTGGGGAACTCTTCTGAACACATCACTACACTGTCGCGCTGCTATTCTGGGAGCGAGAGTCTGTCACCTGAACTGTCATCACGTGCTACCATTCTGAAAGCCTGTCTGTCCCAGTAACTAAGAAACTACTGACGACTCCAAGAGGCTGGGAAGGCAGGGAGGAGGGACCTACCGTTTGTACCACTCCTCAGCCACGCTGTTCTCGCCCAAGGACCTGTAGAGTCGGCCCAGGTTCACCACGGCCACATGATGGCTTGGGTTGAGCTGGATGGCCTGCTGGTAGTGAGCCACAGCCTTCTCTGGAGAGCCTGCAGTGGGGTGGGGCGGGACGAGAGCAGACCACAGGGGTGAGGGGAGTGGCTCCCAGTCTCCCTCCGGACGTATGCCATTCTTTCTGGGCATGACAGCATCATACAGCCAGGGATGCGGTTTGTGATCAGCTTGGTTTTTGGCCTCTTATGCTTTCACTGCCTAACCTTGGCCCGTCACTGTTCATCAACACTTCCCATGAAATGAATAACAATTCGGCACTGATTCTGTTTGAGACAGGCTGTCTGTTTGTTTGTTTAGCTCAGGCCGGCCTGGAAATCACTGTGTAGCCCAGGCTGCCCTTGAACTCGTGGAAATCCCACAGCTTCGGTGGAAGTGTTGTGATGATTGGCAGGAGCCACCACAACTGGTTGTGGTTATGTAGTTGAGACATTGGTGCTTTTCATTACACACAAAATAGAACGGACCACTGCAGAAAGAACACAGGTCTCAGTAATTTCTAAAGGCTGTCTCAAGTCACAGGACAAGAGAGGGTGACAGTGCTCAATTGGAAACCCGTAAATCACACAGTTTATTCAATGCGTGTGTGTGTGCGGTGCACACACTCTCGTGTGCATGTGTTCACAGGATGTCAGAGTGAGATCCTGTGAAAATGAGTTTTTCTCCTACCATGGAGGTCCCAGGAACCAATGTCAGGTGGTCAGGCTTAGAGGCAGTACCCTTACCCACTGGCCCATCTTGTTGGCCTCAATGGTATGCACTTAATGTGATTGTAAACACAGTGGCTATGTCACCTCGCATTCGTCCCGTCTGTATGTTAAAACCCCTCTGCTCACACGGCCTCCACAGTGTTCAGGATCCTATTGCCTTGCCCCTTGGGATTTAACAGGTACTTTTTAAAACCACCAAAACAAAACCATCGCTTTATAGACGTAGATGCTAAAGTGCAAAGACCTTAAGAGACTTGGTAACAATCCCAGGGCAAGGGAGACAAAAGCCAGAGGGAAAACCAAATCTCCCTGGTCCGAGAAGGGTCCCTAGAGAAGCTTCCTAGAAACTAAACAAAGTGACTGAATCTCAGAACAGTCTAAAGTGTAACTGACCGGACCCACAGGGCTACACATTAATCTTTCCCACACACTCTCTCTGAACACAGGTTTATCTAGGACCACGTCAGAGGGGCCTCAGTGGCTTGTCAGAGTTCTTCTCAGAGGGGACTTTTATATGGGACTACTTGTTGAATTTAAAGGACAAGCTTTAGTTCAGGCGGGTGCTCCTCCGCTCCTCCTCTGATGATGTGTTATCATCTAATGATCCAACAGGGGGCGCCAAACAACAATTTATATGCAAAAATAGCTTGCTTTCCCTAGCTGATCCAAATTTAAGCTTACGGTTTATCGAACAGGAAAGCTTCACACGTCCTAGAAAATGAAAATCCACTCAAGTGTTCAATATTGGAAAATAATAATCAGACTGAGTTCTCCTGCAGGGCAGACTGTCGTTGGGTCAACAGGAAATGGAATCTGCGCCCAGTCCCACCTGTGCCACAGGGGACCACGGTGTCGATGCCTAGGATGCATTTCTGGAATGTACACAGAGGAAACAATTCCAAAGGCTTAACCAAGCCGGTTACAGACACCAGCCACCATTTGCTGGAGGCCGGTGTGGAGGCACGCTCTGCACTGAGGAGTGGGGTGGCACCCCTGATGTACAGCCCTGTGGATGCGGTGGTAAGAAAAGCAAGGCCACTTCCTGCCCCGGGGAGTTTTCTTATAAACAGGATTCTGAGACGAACTTGGAGATTTAGGAAAATGTCAGCCCCACAGAGCCACTGATACGAGAGAGAAGGGAGTCTCAGCAGACTGGTGTCTCACTCACCAGAGTCAACTAAGAAAACCGCATAGTTGTTGTGCAGATCTGAGCTGTCTGGGCAGTTCTTTATTCCAGCCTGGTAGACGTCCTCTGCTTCCTTAAATCTTGCCTTTAGCAGAGAACAAAGAAAAACAAAGCTTTATAAAATAAACAGTATAGTTAAGATTGGGAGTGAGCTGGGGAAGGAGAAAATGCTTACTGAGCCTTGATTATACACCAGGGACCAAGAAAAATACCACGAGCTTTGCCTGAATCCAAGTCAACACTAAGGGCGTACAAGCACGGGTATGCTTAGTTCCTCTGGTGTGAACGCACTGATACAAATACATAGCATTTGGATGGATCCAGACCTGTATGTGGAAAAGGTCTGAGCATGAATTTTTGAATGAGGCTCCTTCTTCACCCTGGTGGCTCTAATGTAAATGTTGAATATCGGTGTGGGTGTCGAGGCATGGAGAGGTGGCTGCTGGGCTTGAAGGTAGAGCTAGAGGGTTGACAGCTGCCTCTGACAGAACAGCCCTCTTCTTTCTTACTGCCAGCTAAGACTTGCCGGGGGAGTTCTCTCTCTCTCTCTCTCTCTCTCTCTCTCTCTCTCTCTCTCTCCCTCTCTCAGTGTGTGTGTGTGTGTGTGTGTGTGTGAGAGAGAGAGAGAGAGAGAGAGAGAGAGAGAGAGAGAGAGAGAGAATGTGTGTGAGAGTGTGTGTGTGTGTGTGAGAGAGAGAGGAGTTTGTGTGTGTGTGTGAGAGAGAGACAGTGTGTGTGTGTGTCTGTGTGTGTGTATGTGTGTGTGTGTGTGTGTGTGTGAGAGAGAGAGAGAGAGAGAGAGAGAGAGAGAGAGCCCTACTTGCTCTGTAGTTCAGGTTGACCTAGCCTCATAGCCCAGGCAATCGCCACAAGCCTCCTGCCTCAACCTCCTGAGTGCTGGGATCAGGGGTAGGTTTTCAGGTGGGTGATGGGAGAGACAGCTCAGCAGTTAAGAGCACTGGCTGCTCTTCCTGAGGAACCAGATTCAATTCCCAGCACTCACAAGGCAGCTCACACCTGTCTGTGACTCCAGTTCTAGGGGATCTGACACCCTCACACAGTCATGAGCACAGGCAAAAACCAATGCACATAAAAGCATTTTAAAATATGGATGTCCAATAGTAAAAAGACTTGGTTTATAAGCAAAATAAAGATGTGCGTTCTGAATTGGCCCTCAAAGGGACTGTCGTCCCCCCCCCCCCCCCCCCCCCGCGGCACACGCCATGCCAATTACCACACCTCCAATGTGCTGTACTCTACCTACCCCCCTTCTCTGTGTACCTTAATATATTTTAATTATTTACAGTTTAATAACTTTTTTGTTTTCCAAGAAAGGGTTTCTCTGTAGTTTTAGAGCCTGACCAGGAACTCGCTCTGTAGACCATGCTAACAATTTCCTTTCCTAGTGCTGCTGTTAAAGTCAGGTCAAAGACACTGACCCAGTACAAAGCACTTTGCAACTTTTCCTTAAGATGCTAAAAGTTTGCCACGAGTTATCATGGCTTCCATTGGCAGTGTGAAGACGGACATCTCAGCCTGTAAGTGAAGGTGTGTGGGGTGGTCGTCTTCCACGCTGCCCAGTAAGCCGAGAGACTGAGATCTGGGCTGGCAGGGACCCCATGGGCTCTTCATCTCGGGTGGAACTACCAGTGCTGTCTGTCTGACCCCAGTGATTTCAGCACCATGGGGAGGGGAGGAGTTTACAGGTGACAAGCGCTATGTATTGAATCAGAGATCCACAGGGCAGCCAAGGGAGATGCGCGCTTCTTGAAAGCCTTCTTCAGCTGCCAAGTTCAGCAAATGTCAAAGTCAGAGAAGTTAAAGATGAATGAAAAATCTCAAAACAGACACTTTGATCTTAGTAAGTCTGAAGGAAAGCTTTGGAAGACACTGTCTGCTGAGGAGCTGACGTGTGTGTGTGTGTGTGTGTGTGTGTGTGTGTGTACAGAAAGAGTGTACACTACACCAGATTCCAATTAGAAAGTACCGCAGGGCACTTGCTCATTTGTTCACGGTGTATCAAGGGTGCAGCTGCTTCAGGGAGTAAGCCACATGCATCAGGAATCGTTCCCTGGGACCTGTGAAAGGGCTCAGTGGGTAAAGGTGTCTGCTGCAAACCTGACGACGTGAGTTCAATCCCCAGGACCTACACAGTACAAGAACTGACTCCCTCAAGTTGTTCTCCAGTCTCCACACCTACATGGTGGTGCACACACGCACGTGTGCATACACACACGTACACACGTGCACACACACACACACACTTTTATACATATAAAGAATTGGGTTTTTATCTACAACGTTCTGTCATGGGCAGGAGGAGGAGCTTATAAGGATCCTCCCTTCTTGAGGCGCTACAGGCAGATAACAGTTATGGGGAAGGAAGACCCTTGTTCCTCTGAGGCATAGCTTATTCCAAACAATAAACTATAACGTAAACAATGCATTTATATAAAAATACCTTCCAAAGCAAAAGAAGATATGGTAGTGGCATTAATTAGGATATTTATTAGATTATTTTGACTGTGGGCATACTGGGGACAGAATTAAGAGCCTCGCACATTCTAGTTGCTGGCCATATTAGATTGAATCTTTTTCGATCTCCTTCATGTCTGACCCAGGGGAAGATACTGGATGCTCACACCTGCTGTGTGATGTGTTTTTTCTGTGGTTTCTGTTATTGGTAGTTGAAGTGTGGAGAAAGTGTGACTGACGAGCTGGAAAGGGGAAAAGAGACCATCATTGTAACAACCTTTTCTGAACCGTGGGTGTATCATGTGACCACAAGAACTACTGCCGGTTCACTAAAGTATGAGGGTGAAAGGCAAGTTACTCTTTCGTATCTGTAGGAACACTGCATAGACCACCGCAGACCCGGGGAGGGGGCTCCCTAACAGTACCAGAGTTGGGGACTCAGAGGACAGTCCACAGCAAGGTGTATTTAATAGGAGGTGCACAGCGGGTTGTTCTGACAGTAGGAGAAGTTCTCTGACAGAGCCACAGGTTGGGTCCCATCCAGAAATGTGTTTGTCCTAACCATTTAGCAAGGCAGTGACTGTTCACTGGTACAGCCCTGGGAAGCTGGGGATGTATGTCTGTAACAGCCCTGGGAAGCAGGGGACTCATGGACTGGACACCCTGGGAAGCTGGGGACTGTAAGTCTGGCAGCTCTAGAAGTAGAGACCTGGAGGCTAAGGGATGACAGGTCTGACAGCCTGTGGCTTCCTAATCTCCTGCTAAGGAACTCCTCAAGATACAGCAGCTCCGGAGACATCAGAGGGTTCTGCCTCTTATTCCCACCACTGTTACTTTCTTTACAAAACAGTAAGCAATCAACTCAAGTGATCCCAGGCTTTTCTGAGAAACACTATATCAATATTGGATGTCTCTCTTTCCTTCACACCCAACTGAAATGAATCAACAGGTTTGGTGTTCTTCCGCCCTGAGGAAATGCTGGCATTTTCTAATGCTGCGGGTCTCTGTCTCCCAGGCGAGTGTGAGCAATGCGTGTGTGATAACTGAGCAAAAGAGGAACAGCCACTTCAAAGAGGACAGCCAGGACTGGAAAATAGCAGTGAAGAGGATGTGGTCATTGGGGGGGGGGGAATGGCAGAGTATATGTGATAGAGAGGGACGGAAGGGGTGCAGGGGTTGAAGTGCTGAACTGTGTGGAAGCAGGGGAATAAGGTAAGGGGGTCTGAGTGGGTTAACCAAAGGAAGAGATTGTGAGACAGCCTTCTGGAAACCCACTAGTAGGCAAAATAATATATATATATATATATATATATATATATATATATATATATATATTTAAAAGTTCAAATGGAGATACCATGCATGAGTGGACAACACAGTTCCCAAAAAAATTATGGTAAAAATCATGAGATGCCCCCCTAAGAGTTAGCTGGTAGCCCCACCCCTAACTGAGGAACAATTGTTGGCTGCAGCTCCTGCGGGAAGGAGAATCATTCTTTTATGTGGGTTGTCCATGATCCAATGAATCATCCTCCACCGCCACCCCGCAAAGACAGTGAGATCTGAACACAGCTTCCACCTCCTCTGCGCTGGGATTGTTTAAGGAAAAGGAAGTGGGAATGGGAGAGAGATGTTAGGGGAAACTGTGGCAGAGAGGAGAAAATAGGGATGAAATTGATCATATTACATTGTATACATATATGAAATTCTCAGATAAATTGACACACACACGGAAAGAGCTTAAGAGCATGCCTCTACAGGAGTACCCAGGGGACCAGAAAAGAGGAGACCATGTGTGTGGGTCCCAGCTTCTCCGGCCATTTTGCTCCAGCCTCTACTCTTGCAGATGTAAGATCCACACACGGTCTACTTCTGGTCAGAAAGGTTTCCCTCCTCAGCTTCCCGCATGAGCGTATAGCACTGGCCACACCTCAGCCACACCAGCTCAAGTCCCCATAACATCCCCGTTGGTGCCCAGTGCTGTCCACACTTGCTGCAGAATTTCTTATTCCCTGTTTCAAAGTTCCCTTTCCATGATAGGTTCCAGGAAGGCAAGACACGGGACTTGCTACTTGAGGGATCTGTGGTGTTGGCTTGGATTTGCATGCATTCACCATGAGCTAAATGATTTAATCAATGCATTCTTACACTAGGGTCCACTCCAAGTTGACTTTGCTGTGAGTGTTGAGTGTGACTGATCCAATTCATGACAGCATTGCAGGAGACAGACCGAGTCTATCCTCTAGAAAACTCACATTTTAGGTCTCAATATTCTTGCACTCTGATATTAAATGAAATCACAACCCCAAATACATGAAAGGAAAATATTTTATAGATGTTTCCTATTGAGGTTTTCAGTAGACTATAACCCCAAGGCTAGTTTTAATTTGCAGTGGTATTATAAACTTAATTTCATTTCCTTTACAGCAGATATAAAGCCACGTTTTGTTCTGTGATAAGAACTAGGTAGCTGCAAGTTCCTATGGGCTCAGGAACTCAGTCTCGGAGGGAGATCTGGGGGAAAGTCGGGCAGAAGCCGGGCTACTGCTACCCCACAACTTTCCCCTTCTGTTGCGTGGTACACAGAGGGGCGTTCACCTTCTCCAGAGC